CTTCTATACAGCTTAAAGTGACATTTAAAGGCTTACTTTAAATAATTTAAGGTTAATTAGGTTAACTAGGCAGGTTAGGGTAATTAGGCAAGTTATTGTAAAATGATGGTTTGTTCTGTATACTATCCTAAAAAAATAGCTTAAAGGGGCTAATAATTTTGTCCTTAAAATGGTTTAAAAAAAACCTGCTTCTATTCTTGCCAAAATAAAACAAATAAGACTTTCTCCAGAAGAAAAAAAATATTATCAGACATACTGTGAAAATTTTCTTGCTCTGTTAAACATCATTTGCAAAATATGTAAAAAATAAAAGAAAATCACAGGGGGGTCTAATAATTCTGACTTCAACTGTATAATTTGAGTTGCACTATATTTTGATTATTATATGAACTTCTGCTGACTATAGTGGTTAGTTTATTTACAAAGTATAGTCTGCTCTATATATACCAATGCTTTATTTATATATGCTCACCAACAGATTCTAATCTTTCAAATTATGAATTCTTATTTTAATAATCTAAATAATAATAATCCTTTGAAAAGAGTAGGGGATTAACCCCGGCATCCTGGCCAAATCTGCCCACTGGCCTCTGTCCATCATGGGCTCCTAACCATCCCCATATTCAATTGGCTTCATCACTGTCTCCTCTCCACCAATCAGCTAGTGTGTGGTGTGCGGTCTGGCGCAAAATGGCTGCTGTCACGTCATCCAGGTGGATGCTACACACTGGTGGTGGATGAGGAGATCCCCCTATTGTGTAAAGCGCTTTAAGTGCCCAGAAAAGCGCTATATAAATGTAAGGAAGGAATAAACCTTAACCTTACAGTTACTTACACTTATGTATACTTGCGTATATACTTATTCTTATTTTACTATTGAGAATCTGTACATTTTCAGGTACGACTTATAAAAAAAAGAAAGTCTAAACAGGACCAATGTATGTAGACCTATAAAGCCAACCAATGTGAATTTCTTATTTTATTACTGAGAATCTGTAAATGTTCTGTAAATTTTCTTAAATGTTTTTATTGTTTGTTAACATTTTTTTTTTAATGTAACATAGTAAAAGCTAGTGTGAATGCTGTCTTCTGAACTCGGGTGCGCACCCTCGTATGAAAGAGGTGGTCTGGTTTACGGCATGTGCAAACTCTGGAATGGTTCACTTCTGATATGAATGCAATCGTACCAAATAATGGAAGTGAACCGCCAACTGTACAACAATCTATCATTTTCATAACGTTCATTCGTGTCTGTATGTCTTTGTATCCCCTTTCTTGGCAACAAGCGGGACTGACCCAGTGTAAACAATGATTATGTCTGATTGTCTCCAGCAAAAATGACTTCTGCAGACATCACAAAATGTTCGGAACGTTTGTAATATATATTTTTTCTTTGTGGCAGATAGATGCAAGTGGCTCTCTGTGTTTTGGTAACAAAAGCAAAAGATTCAGTAAAAGCAGAACGACTGTGATATGCGTATGTCTACATTTTGAGGGGGGACAATCGAACTTGGGTTCGAACAAGGCATTCGGTCTCAGTCTTTTGTCAGTTTTATGCAAATGTTCCTTAAATTGTAGTTGAGCAATTTTAGCGTTATGGATGTGACATTTGCAGTAAAAATTCAAAACATAAATTGACAGAAAAACTATATTATAAAATGAGATTGAAACATCTGTTCATACTTTTCAAAACAACTAACCACAGAGTTAAGGGATCAGAAAAATATCAATCTGTAAACATTTTACTGTTTAATTGAGGGGAATAAACATGCATTATGGATGAGACCAAAAAAGTTAGTGAGTTTACTGTATACAACGAACTTTGTGGAAATTATGTGAATTAAACCATAGAGACACAACCCAAAAGAAATAAAGCTAATCATAAGAGTTCTAGAACAAAAACGATTGATTTTATTTTATTTTAGTTTTGCATTTATGAGGAAAAAGCTTCGTTATGGATGAGATGTGAAGTTGCCACATGTGTGACTTTGGCAAATCAGATATTATACATAGTTTGAAAACATTGACCGAGATATTTTTGAGTATTTTTTAAATTCTTGCTTATACTCGCTATTTTCAGTTAACAGTATTTCAAATGTTGGCATCTGCTTTTAGTCTTAACATTTCAGGAAATAAGAAATATACTTTGTAAATATGTAATATATACATTTTTGTAACTAATTGTTTAAGAATTTCATTTCTTCTGTGATGAGATCTTTGCTGCCTTAATATGCTATTGTCCTGTTTCTCAAGTCTCAAATTTTTCAAGTTAATGAGTTTGTAGCATTGAGTGCTTTGTTTTGAAACAATACATGCACTTTAGTGATTGCTTCGACTGTGATGTTTATGAATTTTGGCCAAATACATACTTTGTGTAAAATATACAAGATGCATCAAATATTCAATTGTATGCACACATACAGTATATACAATTTAGATGCACAATCATTTAACAAGCCAATACAGTTCAGCTGTTGTAGTAAAACACATGAGGCACTGCAGAAATCAGTCTGCCTCTCTACTGTTTAATGTTTATGAGGCTCAACTTGGCAATTTGAGCACCCGCGTTTAAGTATGACTTAAGAGGCCAATCATGACATGTTTTTAATAGCTGTGGGGAAATATTTATTGAAATTTCGATAGGATGTGTGAAGGCATTGCAGCATTACACATTGGGGCTATCATGTTGTGATCACAGGGTGGCTCAGTGGTTAGCACTGTCGCCTTACAACAAGAAGGGTGCTGGTTCGAGTCCTGGCTTGGCCAGTTGACATTTCTGTGTGGAGTTTGCAAGTTCTCTCAGTGTTCGTGTGGGTTTCCTCTGGTTGCTTTGGTTTCCCCAACAGTCCCAAGACATGTGGTATAGGTGAATTGGGTAAACTAAATTGGCCATAGTGTATGCTTGTGAATGTGAGAGTGTGTTTGGTGTTTCCCAGTACTGGCTTGCAGCTTGAGGGGCATCCATCCACTGTGTAAAACATATGCTGGATAAGTTGGCGGTTCATTTAGCTGTGCTGACCCCCTGATGAATAAAGGTACTAAGCTGAAGGACAATGAACAAATGAATGAATGTTGTGATCACATGACTGAATATCAGACATTTTGGCGTCAAGCTAATAGATACCAAAAAAGCTCAAAATAATAGATTTGTGTTAGAATACTTTACTACATTTTAAGTTAACTTAATCATGTTTACAAATTAAGGTTGATCGATTACAATTTTCAATAAGTTTTTTGAACAAGCAGCAAACGTATTTGTTTTATTATTGGTCAAATGAGCTGGCTACTTTGGAAACTAGGTGTAAAGTTACTGAAACAGGACAGACGGTCTTTTTGCCGAAGCTTTGAGCCCCAAGCCAGATATTTGGTATTTGGTTTTCCATCAAAGGGCTTTTGAAATGCATGGAGCATAATTGAAGTGTCCCAAAACGCAAACGTTCAGATCATGAAATGTGGAATTCGATAAAAGAAGGATTTGATTTCTAACATGCCCCTCTGAAATAAACAAATACTCGTGTTCAGATGCCTAAGGAGCTTTTAATATCTTCAGACTAAATGTTAGATGAAATGTTAAATGGAAGTCTCCAGAAGTGTTGGACACCATATGGGCTGCAAAGACGGAAGGGGGATTATGTAGGAAGAGCAGGGGGGAGGGTATCTGTCATCTCTGAATGTGTGACATTCATTAACACCAATGCAGAGACGTCACAGCATGATTATTTATGACCGAAACACCTCACCATTCCTCTCACTTCCCTTCGGCAAGCAGACACATTCAAATCCATCCCAACGCAACAAGGAATAAATGGACTTTATGAATTACTGTATCTGTTTGGAAGTATGGAACCCATGTGTCAGGGATATCTGGAAACGCTTTAAAAAGAAGGATCAAGATTATTATCATATACACTCACCGGCCACTTTATTAGGTACACTGTCTAACTGCATGTTAATGTAAATTTCTAATCAGCCAACCACATGGCAGCAACTTAATGCATTTAGGCATGTAGACATGGTCAAGATGATCTGCTGCAGTTTAAACAGAGCACCCGAATGGGGAAGAAAGATGATTTAAGTGACTTTGAACGTGCCATGGTTATTGGTGCTAGACGGGCTGGTCTGAGTAATTGAGAAACTGCTGATCTTGTGGGATTTTTGTCAAAACCATCTCTAGGGTTTACGGAGAATGCTCTGAAAAAGAGAAAATATCCAGTGAAAGGGAGTTCTGTAGGCGCAAATGCCTTGTTGTTGTCAAAGGTCAGAGGAAAATGGCAGGACAGGTTCCAGCTGATAGAAAGGCAACAGTAACTCTGAAAGCATCTCTGAAGGCACAACACATCGATCCTTGAGGCAAATAGGCTTACAGCAGCAGAAGACCACACCAGGTGCCACTCCTGTCAGCCAAGAACAGGAAACTGAGGCTACAATTCACCAAGGCTCACCAAAAGTATATGATGGAAGACTGAAAATAACGTTGATTGGTCTGATGAGTCTCGATTTATGCTGTGGCATTCGGATGGTTGGGTCAGAATTTGGTGTCAACAACATGAAAGCATGGATCCATCCTGCCTTCTATCAATGATTCAGGCTTATGGTGGTGGTTTAATGGTGTGGGGGATATTTTCTTGGCACACTTTTGGCCCATTAGTACCAATTGAGCATCATGTCAATGCTACAGCCTACCTGAATATTGTTGCTGACCATGTCCATCCCTTTATGACCACAGTGTACCCATCTTCTGATGGATACTTCCACAGGATAACGCGCCATGTCATAAAGAGCAAATCATCTCAGACTGCTTTCTTGAACGTAACAATAAGTTCATGTAGTCAAATGGCCTCCACAGTCACCAGAACTCAATCCAATAGAGCACCTTTGTTGGAATGAGAGATTTACGTGATGAATGTGCAGACGCATGATGCTATCATGTTAATATGGACCAAAATCTCTAAGGTGCAGTTTGTGACACTTACATCGAAGGTCATTGATGCAGTCAAAACAAGACTATTAGTCAGCTTTTATTTAGAAAGAATCCCAAAAAATAAACAAGTTGGCACACATTCATTTACAAAATGGCAGAGAGCGGTCTTTAAAATTACATGTTCAACTAAATATCATGTATGTCATGACAAAATGAGAAGTGTTATCCAGTATTTGCCCCTCAGTCTAGTGTGAAAGACTGAGAGAGAAGAGAGGAGAAAGAAATTATACGAAGATGCACACAACTGTTGAATCGGGGACATCTTTGTTTGCTTTTGTTTTTAATCTTGGCTTATTGCAATCTCTAATGTGAACTCTTACAGTTGCCATTGCTTATATAGGAAATAACACTGTTACCAAACAAAATATATAATATTGTGGTGCAGTAGGTATCTTAAATAACCTTGAGTAAGTATATTGGCAGATATCTTTTATAAAATAATATATTAAAACCAGATGTTTGGAAACCAGATTTAAGTTACAGAGTGAACATTTTAGAAAAGCCAACAAAACAAACAAAAAAATAAATAAAAGATCCTCAATAAATCACTGTGTATACCATCCAACTGTACATTTAGTAACAAAACTTACAGAATGTATCGACTACATTCACATTGATGACAGATTAATATATGACTATATTTATCAATAATTTTGGCACACTTAATTATTTGGCATTTTTTAACAGAGCAGTTTGTTGATGTGTATGCTTCTATTCATCTCACAGCAAAACATATGCAATAATAATACAATAGGTACGTTTTTTTTCTTTTTTATGTTCACATTGTAAACACTTTTTCTGTTCTTTTCATTTTTTTAAACATATTATAACCGCTACCCTGATTTTCTTGATATAAACAAAAATTACAAACAGATTCTTGAAACCAAACAAGTAGATGAAAGTAAGAAAACGTAACCGCGGCACCCACTTTTTCAAATATGTTTCAAATGTCAAGCATTGCTAGATAGTTCGTATTAACACCAAAATGTTAATGAGTATATCAGAAGAGGACTAATAAATTACAAGAGAAGCAACATATTTGGCATTGAAATGTGAAACTAGTAGCTAAGCTCTTAAAAGTATGTTTACAGGTTTAATTGACATGTAAGCAGGTTTATTTAAAAGCCATTTCTGTGAAAATACATAAAAATACAGTTTATTTTCCGTCGCTTTTATTAATAAAAAGACATTTCACATCCTGAAGCAGATGATGATAAAGTGTGCTTGAGCCGAAATAGACATCAGATGGCGTCAGCTACGAAAACAGACAGACTTTATTGACCTCTCTCTTTCCCGCTCAGAGCTTCTGTGAGTTTCAAGTTTGTTGTGGAAAATATCCGTTACGGGGCGGGGGGGATATCAGCTCGGTAAGCGAGTGTCTTTTCCGATACTAGAGAGTGCATCTTTTGTTATAAAGGGCCAAGGAAGGATTATGTCTGTATGACATCAAATGAGGCCTCCATCCTCCATTCAGACGAGTGATGATAAGGGAGAGAGCGACAGGAAAGAGAATAGAACGCGCTCTATTGAAAACCATTGTGTAAGGCACTCGGCAGGTTCTTATCCATCAGGAGAGATCAGTCAGACTGACGTTCATTCCCACACCAGGTCTAACAAAGGGCACTGCATGTACGGCTTTGGGGAATTCAGGACTCATCACACGTCCGTTCTCGCCAGTACTCCCAGTAACAGACAGTCTCGCTTTGCTCCTCATAGCATCCGAAAAGGTCACCTGGAACACACACACGCATGCACGCAAACGGAGAAACAAACATCCACGCGCGCACACATTCATCAAACAGAAAGAGGGCGGACAGTTAGTGTGTGTCCCGCGAAAGGGCTTCAGGCTTATTTTTAATATGTTTAGTTGAAAATGCAGATGTTCAGTTGATGTGATGGAGGAACATCAAAAATGAGAAGCAAAGTTGAAAGCAAACACCATTTAGAAAAATTATATCGCAAGCGGGGAATGAGGGAGATGCTTTGGAAGCTTGTTTCTGCCATGGAATAAAAAGTTGAATACTGTATAAGGTAATTGCAACTTATTTCATAATTAGTGACTTTTTTCTTTAAATTAGGTTTAGATCTCACAGGATTTTACGATCAGTTTATTTTTTTCATGCAATTCTGAATTTATATGTCACAATTTTGAAGTTTACATCTTGTTTTTTTAACTGGTCCACCGCTGAGTAAAATATTTGATAATGTTAGGATAGCTATAAACTTTTTCATTAAAATGATGACTTTTGTTAAACAAGAATTTTGTTCTTGGCAAAATCATGACGTGCAGGTTCCACACAATTACTTTGTTGTCCTAACACAAATCAATTAAGTTAGCTTAATTGTTTTTTACAAATTTAAATGGATTGAACATAAAACAAATGAAGTTTCACAAACTAATTTCGAGAGGAGCGCGTGATATGATTGACTGCAGCTGGCCACTCATCTACACTCATTGGCTAGCCAATCGGATTGATCCAAACTCACTATAAATAACCTAGCTAAGATCTACTCCCTTATCTTCGTTTCCCGAAGAAACCCCCCATCCACCCCTTCTCCTCCTTTCCTCTTTTGCCGAGGGGAGCTCTCGAGAACACCTGACCTCATACTCCCCTCATTTGCTTTATGGACCTGGCGGGAGCCCTGGGCTCAACTATCTCCGAGCTCAGGGTTCTCTCCCGGGACAGCATGCCAAACCTGCTAACTTGCTAACAAGTTGTCAAACAGTATCTAAGTGTGAACTCTTGAATTACGTTATGCCAAAATCACAAAGAATTGTGTTTTTTCAACTCATTTAAAGAAGTAGTTAAAACATGCAGCTATCTATAATCCACATTTTTGATTTCGAATTCAGTTTTAGAATTCAACTTTTTTCCAGAATCGCATGTTCATGTGTTGCAACTATGAGATGAGACTATCTATGAAACTATATATTGTAGGTGAAAAAAAGTATTATTTGTGAGATACAGTCGCACTGAAATCTTTTTTTAAATTCGATGGCGGATTTAAGCTTCCCATAGTGATGTAGGATATAACAACAGTCATACATGACAATGAGGTGGACGAACAAAGTCACTTGGTATACAAAAAAAAAACTTTTCTCCTGTATATATGTGCAGCAGAGGCGGAGAAAGGAAGTTTTTTTTTCTTTTTTATCACTATAAGAACACCAGTACATACGATCCAGTTTACGGTCCAAATCTCCTCATTCACTAGAACATTCAGGGAATGGAACAGATGGGAAGCCAAAAGAAGCGTGCACGGGACAGACTGAAATGACGGCCGCGTATCCTACCCCCTTAAATTTTTACACTTTCGATCCCATATACGTTGTACCCTTCCTTATAAGTGGCAAAATTCTGTGAATTCTGCGAGGAAGTGGGATTAATATTCTGTGCATTCTTTGCCACCTTCATGCGCTTGGCCTCGGCTCGGGACTTGTAACAGAACTCGACCAGGGCCACCAGCATGGCCAAGCCCAGGCCGCCCACAAGGATGTAGAAGACGCCAGCCACATTGCTCAGGCTGAGCGCGCTGGTCTTCTCCTGAAAATGCACACGAGACACGGGTCAGCGCTCGGGGAAAGCACACCATCTCAGTATTAAACATTCAAATGTAGAAATAACAGAATATTTAAGTGGCAATTTTACGTCTATGTGGATACAAATGCACAGCTCAGGACAGTAATGTTTAAACAATAACTGTGCTGCTGCAGCTGCTGGTTAATGTGCCCTTGAAGCAATGCAATGGGGGGGCATTGAGCAATTCTGCTCGAATGGGATGGATTTACTAAAGCCTTTAACATTCTCTTGAGAGATGGCTACCAAAGCAACAAAGCGCTTTTAAATCACACTTCTTACATTTCCTCGTGCTAATGGCTGTAGTAAATATTCTCTTTGTTGAATTCACATTTATAGCAGGGGTTAATGTGCTATGCTTAGCTGTGATATGAATTACACTTGTGTCAGAGCCTACAGGACCATTTAAAGGGATGCTCAAGAGAGGCATCTGGATGGAGGGCATAGCATTAGACACAGGGGGGAAGCAGATGACAGGCATTGTGGGTAAAAGGCAGGAGATTAACACACATATACACACCTACAGAAAGGTCTCTGAGGGAGAGGGGCTGTTATTTAGATATTCTTTGCAAATATTAGTGTACTGTACTGTGCACAACATGACCACGTAGAAAACACAGACACATAGACGGATACAGAATGATTTTTTGTGATAGTAATTATTTTTGTACTGTAAAGTTGTGATGTGTAATGTAAAAAATATATAAAACTTTAAATAATTAACAAGTTCACTTTTTAAATTATAATATTAATTGAGCTTTAAGCATATTTTGATGTTAGCAAATAAATAAATAAATGCTTTGTGTCAAATGAGGTAAAAGTAAAACTTACAAACTCAAAATTTGATGTAAAGTTGAATTAAACTAATTTAATATTGTCTGTGGAATAAATATACATACAGATGCCTCACTGGTGGTTGTTTCTGTATGCAAGCTGCCTGCCATATTGGAACAGTCAAAGTCTGTCCACGAACACTCAAGTTTAAGGGTGCTGTCACACCTGTAATATGTTTCTTTTGCTCCAGCTATCTTTAGCAAGGTTAAAACCAAGTTTAAAAATTATACATTATGGCATTTTATTGCCATTTTGGTTCTGTTTCACTCTAGATCGTCTGCTTTGAACCAAATCATTTAGAATGAACCCAAAAAAGTTGTTTTCTGAACTCCATTTTGATTGCTCAGAATTAACATGCGAGAAACTCACATACGCAACACGTAGTAGTAAGCAAATTGCGGAGGTAAAGCCAGCATGCAGTATGGACCTCCTCACAACGTCTTCTTTGAACCAAATCAGTTCAAATGAACAACAAAAAAAAAGTCGTTGGCTAGACGAATTTTCAGAACTTCATTTTGATTGCTCAGAATTAACATGCGAGAAACTTAGATACACAACACATAGAGGATAGAGCGGGGGAAAAGTCAGCAGGTAGTTTAGACCTCCTCACAATGTCTGCTTTGAACCAAATCAGTTAAAAAGAATCCAAAAACTAGTCGTTGGCTAGACAAATTTTCTAGAACTCCATTTTGATTGCTCAGAATTAATACGTGGGAAACTCACATGCTCAACATACAGATGTAAGCAAACAGTGGAGGAAAAGTCAGGAGGCAGTATGGACCTCCTCACAACGTCTTCTTTGAACCAAATCAGTTAAAATGAACCAAAAAATGAGTCATTGGCTAGCCAAACTTTTTAAACTCCATTTTGATTTCTCAGAATTAACACGCAGAAAATTCATGAGTGCAACAGGTAGAGGAGATGGACCTCCTCACAACGTCTTCTTTGAACCAAATCAGTTAAAATGAACCAAAAAATGAGTCATTGGCTAGCCAAACTTTTTAAACTCCATTTTGATTTCTCAGAATTAACACGCAGAAAATTCATGAGTGCAACAGGTAGAGGAGAGAGAGGAGGAAAAGTCAGCAGGCAGTGTGGACCTCCTCACAACTCCACATTTGAACAACACCTGCCATAATAGCGGTAAAGTGTCAAAACACATTTTCTAATGCCAGAATGCATGTCGCAGCTGGTTTAGTCCAAAAAAGCAAAGTACCTTTTGCATTTGGGTCAGTTCGGTCGGTTCAAGTTCTCACCACAAATTAACTGCTCCAGAGTTCGCTTGTAAGCGTACCGAGACCACGTCTTTGAGCAAGTCTCAGTGCTCTTTTTTCGGTCCACTTTTGGTGTGCACCTGAGTACGTTTGGCACCTGCCCAAGCAAACTTCATCAAAAAGGCAAACAAACTCGGGTACGTTTTACCTGAACAAAATTAGCCAGGTGTGGAAGCACCCTAAGTTGACTGTTCACCTGCTAATCTAGTTTTATGCATCTAATATCTACTGTACATCTCAATAGACAACAGCAGATGATTTTGCTAAACAAACCTAGAACACAAGACTGAACTGAAGTCTATAGAATTACAAGAACAGTCTACTCACAAAACTTTGAAGGGGAAGAATGTGTAACATTGAGGAATAAGTCCTTCTCAGTAAAGGAGCCAATCATCCATTAGGAGCTACCCATGCCAATCAACTGGTTCTCCTTAAAATAATAGCTGAACAATTTGAATGACAGACAATCATGTCAGATTTTGCTGCTGATTTCAATTTCCATAATTTTATAGGTAATCCAACAAACTTAGTATTGGTCTTGCATGCTTAAAATAGGAGCCTAGAGGCATTGCAAACACTATGCAGTGTTGGCGCTGAGTGAATGGACTTGAAAGTGGAAGTGAAAGGTGATGCTTTGACTATTACTGAAAGTATTTCTGAGAGTGTTGTATTACAGTAAATACTCATTTTTGTTGTATTATAAAAGTGCAAACATGGCAAAGCATGATGTATCAGGTTTTACGTACAGTACATACATAAAAAAAAAAAACATTTCAATTAAATCATTTAAAAAAGCACACCATACCACGATAACACAGTTGACAACACACAACCAAACAGCTTAACACACAATGAAACAAAGACATTTAAAAATCTTGGACACCCTTGTAGATGGTCCTACGAGTAACCTGAGAGAAATAATGAACAATTGGAAGTCTTTCGTTGTATGTGCTGGATATGAATGTCTGAGAACTGCTATTCTAAACTTGGCACAGGTCTGCAAGTAATAGCAGGATCTGTGATTCTCAGATTGAGAAGCTGAAAGGAGACCACTGGTTGTGTTACAGAGATTACAAAAAGTGCACATGATTGACAAAAGTGGCATGCATTACTTTTTAACTATCAGTGGATGGTACCAAATATTAGTAGCTCTGCAGGCATTAGTCAAATAATCTCACCAAGGCATCTCATGCTTATCTGTGCATTGTCTGTCTAAAATAGTTGTTTTTTTAGTCATTATTATTTAAATTGGGTAATTCCCACTAGTCAAAAGTGTGCTTGATCACATAGAACCTGCAGCGACTAACCTTACTTCCAGAGTCCTTGGCTCCACATTCACCTTTATCGTACCACCATTTGTTTTTCAGCTTGTCTAAGGTGCCTTGCTCACTGAGTTTCAATACTGCAAGGTTTACTGGCGTTCTTCACGTGGGAAATAACATAAATAACATTATCAATGTTATTTTATGTTATTATTACATCACACTGATTTCACTTTCTCTTAGATTTCACCTTTTCTCTCCTCTTTTCTTCATTGCCATAGCGATTATGACGTTGATGCGCCATTTGGCCTAAGCAAATGCAAGTTTTGCAGAGCCAAATGTGCATTAACGTATCGCCTGAAGTAAGCAGCAAGGGCAACAGCCATGTGTGCTGCACACGATGACCAATCTGAGAATTTTGAAGCTTTTGTTTATGTGGGTGTGTGTGTGTTCATTAGCAATGGTTAGCAATGCTAAACCTGTCAGTGTTGTGTAAAGAACGTCCATCTTCAGACTTTTGGTTCCTGTGCGGTTTTGCTGCTTACTTGAGTGTTGCATTGAGTTACCCATCACTTTGCTCTCTGGGGCTGACCTTGGAATCACCTCCCCCGCTGCCGCACTCTCCCTTGTCGTACCACCATTTGTTTTTCAATTTGTCCAACAGGCCTTGTTCATTCAGTTTTAGTACTGCGAGGTTAACCGCATTTCTTGAAACGATAAAACATAACTTGTAAGACAGGGTGAGCCAACTTAGCAATTGTCAATGGTCCTCTTTCAAACCTAACGATTGCTTTTCCTCTTTTTCAGCATTTTAACAAATAAGAAATCATCTCCTCCCTTACAAAATGTGAAATTGTTAGAAAACAAATCAACTAATAGCATCAAACGTTTTTAAGGTGATAAAGGTGGCTCAGAGTGCCGTGAATAGAGAAGCTTAACGCAGTACTCACATTAATAACTAATAGCAGTGGCCTGCGAGTAACATTACTAGAAGGACAGCAGAACAGCTATAAAAGTCGGTTATAACTTTATCATGCATAATTCAATCTTCTCCTAAAGCCCACCCACCCAGTTCTTAACAGACTGCTGTTCAGAGGAGAAATTGAATCCCACTTATCGAAGACTGCGTCTAATGCTGAGAGATGGCATTATGCAATACATATCAATCAACCATCAGCATATATTCAATAAAAGCATTTACAAATGTAAACCCAAGCAGTGCCACCTATTGCGTAAATATTGCTAAATTTGGGTTGACTGGCCAAATTGGAAGTTCAAAGAACGTCTTTGTTAATGTTTTTTATTGAAAATGTGTACTGCAAGGGTTTGATCAAAAACAGTTCAGAAATCATCACATTATTAGGAATAAACAAAGACAGCAATAATTAATGAATATAGAGAGATGGGAGACATGATAGAAGAGGATATTAGGCAAAACTTTGAAACATTCAAAAGACAAAGAACAAGACACAGCTCTTGAAAAAGACAATCTGAAAGATCTATAGATTAGCATTTTGTTAAAATTACTCAAAGCATAAACAAATGTATTCTTATTATTTGTAGCTTGTAAAGTTTAAAATATTGAGGTATTCAAATAATTATTATGTATGAAAAATTGAGATATTCAAATCCTCTAAAATAAAAATTATTTTTTTTTATCAGTAAAAAATTTTGCATGATTACTATTTTATTCTTTAAAAAAAAATCTTCTTTTATCCTTTATTAATTTAGCTTTAAAGTATCCAGCTACAAAATCTATGTCTTTTATACAAACCAGGACACATGAGCACAGCTACATCAGGGTAGGTGGGATACTATAACAACATTGGACACATTGTTATACTATTCCACCCACCTTAATGAGGATCCTTTGGGGGTGGCGATGCCGTAGCCTTTGGAGTCCAGGTTCCCTCCGACCTTCATAGTGTCGCAGGGTTTGCGCTGCTCGATATACTCGTTCATGGTGGACTCCAGTAGGTATGCATACTTCCCCTTGGACTTCCTCACTCGCATGACACCTTCTGCCGTCGTCTTAACAAATACAGAGGGCTCTGCACCTTTCATGTAAGTCCACATCTTGTCGAAAAGTGCAATTTTAGAACGCTGTGCAAGAAAGAAGACACCGCAATTAATAAAAAAAATAAATATTTAAAATCTCTAACAATGGCAAATAGGTATATTAAATTTACTGTAATTACATTGTTACACGTGATTATGAAGATGTGTTTTCATCAATCCAATCACATGCGAGTCATGCTAAATGTAAGTGTAAGTTTGTCCACTATCAACCACCTCCAGAGATAATTGTAAATGCTTTTAATTGTAAACATGGTAAAACTCTCCCTATTGACCAAAAACATTGAGTGTAATGAGATTTGAGAAAGCCCACCAGAACAAGTTGTTTATACTTCATTGCACTGTACCAAAATACATAGATTCTGATGAAAAATCATAGTTGCCATCAACAGCTTGTTTTCATGCTCCCTTATAACCAGTGTAACATTCATTTATTCTTTCAAAAGTACTTGTGTGACACTCTAAGCTGCGATAAAATAAGAGGGAAGGATTTTGAAATCTGAAAAAGTAGTCACAAGAGATGCATTCAAAAGCTTTATAATGTCAAGTGGAAATGGTGTTGTGTCTCAGGACCACTTGTGATTTGTATTGCATGTTAATACCAGGTGGAAACATTGCCCAAAAAGCATTGAAATGTAACATTTAGTTCAGTATTTAACTTGCGATTTAATCAGTTCTTTCAAATCATATTTTAAAACAAACTGGGAATGCATGAGTAAAGAAAATGTTGGCACATTAATTTGAGGGATGGATAAAATGAACGTCTTACTCTGAAAAACTCTTTTGTTGAACCAGAATCTAATGTTCCATAAGCAATCTCTGTTTGCTTTGCCAAGTCCTCAGCACTCTCAATTGGAGACACCATCCTCTCCACTGTTAGGAAGGCAGCCAAGTTAGCCGTGTAGGAAGAAATGATGATCAGGGTGAAAAACCACCAGACTCCTCCAACTATGCGGCCAGAAAGAGACCTAGTGGAAAAATGTCCAGTGGGGTTTATTAGGATGAAAGCACGATTATCACTGTTAACAATGTCATCTTCAGCTAACAGGCCGTGTGGAAAACAAAATGTGTGTAATGGAAAATCAACTGCCTCCTTTTTTTAACTATACATGTTTAACAATATATAACATGCAAATACAATCCAATGTAATGTCTTGCATCATTTTTGAAAAGATGTTAAGTAAAACAGTGTGAATAAGTCAGCTCTAAGTCTGAACAGATGCATTTTTATTGATTTTAAGCTATTTGTAAGAATAGCTAATATTGATAGAATAGCTGGATCTATGACACCTATATTAAGACTGTGATGGATAGTAAATAGTATTAAATATGTGTATATTTTACCGATGTATATTTATTAATTTCAACATTAAATCAATAATTTTTCATCATGTTAACTACAAAAAAATCTAATTTGTGAAAAGTGACGTGATGCATACAGTATGAACATTATAGTACATCTTCTGTCTAAGTGAAGTTTTTTTTTAACTAATTTCGAGAGGATCACATTCTTATGATTGCTTGCGGCTGGTCCCGCATTATTCAATGTATGATTCACCAATTAGATCATTTCTAAGCCACTATAAATTCCCTAAGTTTCACATAACAGCTATCTTCATTTTAAAGAATTCCACCCCTACTCCTCATCCTTTTCTAGATGGGTGGCATGATGGCCCAGTGGTTAGCACTGTTGCCTCACAGCAAGAACATCACTGGTTCTAGTCCCTACCAAGCCAGCTAACATTTCTGTGCAGTTTACAAAATTCTCCCCTTGCTCACATGGGTTTCCCCCGGGTTCCCTGGTTTTCTCCCACCATCCAAAAACATGCAAACTAAGTCAAATGGCTAATCCAAATCAGCACCATGGACATGCACCTAGTAAGCAGTTATCTGTTAAGAGTAATCACTATCTGTTCATTAGCAACTACAGCAGGAGAGTAGAGATGCGCGGATGGCGGTTACAGCCGCGGACTCCGCGGATGAACCGCGGATCGGGCGGATGATGTGACGAAAAATAATATTTTAATTAAATTTGGGCGGGTGGCGGGCGGTTGTACTGTTTTTGTAGACATAGCTGGCGCACCAACGAAAAAGCCTAGGACTGACTTCACAGAATGAGAGGAATCGGATACACTAATTCTGGATGTAGTACAGAAGTATTCCTCTTCAAACTTCCGTATATGGATCAGCAGAGGAAAATCTACTTTCCTTTTGGGAGAAACAAGGCAGTTATTCCCACGACTACAGCACCTGGCCAAGAGAATTCTATGCATTCCAGCAACAAGTGCTGCGAGCAAGCGCTCCTTCAGTGCAGCAGGGCGCATTAGAGGCCAGGCGCTCTCGTCTGAATCCTGACACTGTAGATGCTATTTTATTCCTGCATAGTGCCAAGAAAAATTCAAACTAGACCTAAGGTCAGGCATATTAATCTAATTAGCCTATGTTCTACACATATGTTAAATATAAACTTTTGAGTTCGGTCAGCTGATAATTTTACGTTCATATTGGTTTAGCCTATTCTATTCTAGACATGTTGGCCTCGCTTTTAGGTTCCAGGCTTTAGGTTATTTTGCCAGAATTTATTTGTCGCAACTGTTATGGCGTAGTATTTCATTATGCTTCAAGTTTGTGGGAATGATCCTAAGTCCATGGGTTATTGGGGCATAGACTTGTCATCCAGGTAATTTAGCCTGGTCAGACTTTATGTTCGCTCAAAGAGGGATGGCATATTTATTTTTCTAATTTAATTTCTATTTGTTGGTGTGACTGAGCCTACAAGGCTTACCTACGATATGACGTTTTTATTTTTTTATTTTTTTCAATTGTTTGCCAAAGCATGCGACTTTAGCCTATGCCTACATTAAGATATTTATGTTAATATTGTTTTACTGCCTGCTGTTTCTTTTGGCATATAAAATAGGTATTGTCTAATAGAGATATCAATAAAGGATCATCTGTGTTGCTGAATTGGTGTTGTTTCAGATTTCTAACATCTACAGCAAAAAATTAAAAATAAATAAATAAAAAAATAGTCGAAAAACTATGCCTATTAATTAGATGTGCAAGGCAAGCAGGTAAGATTTTGGGGTTGCTATGGACAACTACAAATGTGAACATTATTAGGCTATAATGTAAATTACTTATTATTCTATCTATTTGCTAAAAAATTAGTGAAACAGGCATTTAGTAGTAGGCTAAATAGCAGCATGTTGAAATGATGTGTCAAAATGTGTTTTCTATTAGGCTACAATAAAAAAAAATGTACCGTACAGTGCGTTTAATTTAGGCTATTTATTTATTTTTGCCCCTGTGGTCCGATTGGAGACGGAGTTCACTGCTGATATTCTGAGAGCTTTATAGGGTGCTTCTCATTTCTTATTTGTGCACCCTCATTTCCTTTCTTTGCTTTCTTTCCTCGTCTTTCCACCCCTATAGGATGCGAGGGAAGGACGCAAGGAAAAGACTCAAGGACCAAGGAATCGAATCAAGTGAAAAGACTAGTTTTTTTTTAGAGAAAGTCATTCTCTATTATCTAATAATCAATAAAAAAACATTCATTTAACAATAAAAAGGAATAAGCCATTCAAATAAAGAGCTCAATCGGCAGATGGTGGGCGAGTGCGGTTTTAAAAAATTGGTCAAAAATGAGTGCGGATGGATGGTGGACGGATGATGAGTTTTGTGATGCGGTTGCGGATTAAATAATAGCCCATCCGCGCATCTCTTCAGGAGAGTTCTCGAGATCTACCTGAACTCAAACTCTCTTCTAACCTTGCCAACGGGAGGGAGCCCCGGGCTCGAGGCTCTTATGAGCTCAGTTTTCTCTCCCGGGAAAGCATGCAAAACAAGCTTTATAATAAATCACCAGCAAAATGTGAACTCTTGAAAGGCATTTGCCTGACTACTAACTACTTAAACAGCATTGGCTACAGGACTGTAAATGAACAGGTGCAATATGTTTTACACTGTAAAATCTACTGACCTGGCATGCATATTAAAGTGAGTTTAGTCATTTTTATAGATAGCTAGGAATAGGGATAATTTTGACAACTGTGTATCTCTACACTTTTTAAATCCGAAGATAAAACTTTATCTAAGGTTACCCTTAGCAATCTAATGATGAAATGACTGCAAATCTAACCTTTGTTTTACATACGAAATCATTCAAAACTTTTACAAATTCAACATTTCTTGAAGAAATCAAGATCACAAACAAACCTGGGTGAAATATCACATCCTTGTCTCATAAAAGCTCCAAGAGAGAACCAAAGACTGTTGAAGATCCCAAACTCATTGGTCGACTCGTTGGTCTGGATCTGTCCATCCTCATATTCCTCTGTGTGCCACTCATATGGACTGAAACGACTGACCAGGAAAAGCACCACACTTACACCGATGTAAGCGAACACAATACACATCCAGATCTCATAAGCCAGTGGATCCAGGAATGAGAAAACACCAGGCTTGGACTTCTGAGGCTTCTTGATCATGATGGAGATGCCCAAACTCATGAACGGCTTTGAGAAGTCGATAACTTCTTCTCGGACTAAAGTGATAGTCAGTGGAGCCACTGCGATGTCAGCTTTCTGAAACGAGAGATTTAATTTCGGTTTAATTCTTAAATTATATTTTTAACCAATATATCCTTGAGCTTAGTGCTTGAAGCTATTTTTTCGACTCATTTTCAATCACATCTAAAAAATCTTTCTTACCCCATAAACCAATTCTCCAACCATTCCATTCCAGATCTTCGTCTCTGCATCTCTAGCTCCATATTTGCCATCGCCTACTATTTTCAGCTGATATTTAAATCCACAGTGCTTTGCTATTTCAGCTGCCAGGTCCACACAATACCCCTCATATCTTTCATTATCCATAAAAAGGTCAGCATTCTTCTTTAACATTACATATGGGGCTTCCTGAAAAAGACACCAGGAAACACCTTGTCAGAGAGTAGTGCTTTACTAAAAAATACTTAATAATATGTTGGACGACCACAAGTAAAACCTACTAGAATGGTGGTGACGATCACAGTCTTGTTTTCAAGCCCCATTGTGTCATTTGGGAAGAGATCTGATTTTGTGACGACCATTTTATCCACTTCGTTCCAATAGCCAATCTGAAATAATCACTATAGAGAGTAAATTGATAAAATGATGCTTTGCAAGTGCATTATTAGGACTGAGTCTTACCTTAACTGCTCCGTTGCTTTTCAATTCCATGACATTGACGGTGTAATTCACTCTCTTTCCATACTGGTCAAACTGAATGTTACCAGTGAGACCATCAACTCTCACCTGCATGAAATGGATATGACAGAGGAAGAAAAACAGTTTTTAGTTATTCTGGGAAATGTTAAAAACATGAAGCAGGCTTCAAAAATGACTTGCTTCAAATCTTACACAAAGCTTCAAAGTTTTATTTTAAACATTTATAGGTTAAAAATCTTTGAGTATTTTAAACAAAGATGTATTCTTCTGATAATGATGGTCAAAGATGGGAAGTACATTTTGGTGTTTAAATTTGCTAAAAGTATTTTCTATACACAGAAAGCTTATTAAAAGCAAGTTGATACATACAATATTAAATCATCATTCAGCACAACATGTACAGTATATGTACAGTATAAACAAAACAACATATTCTGACATGAACATTTTCAAATACACTCACCGGCCACTTTATATTCAACTGCTTGTTAACGACATTTGTAATCAGCCAATCACATAGCAGCAACTCAATGCATTTAGGCTTGTTGACATGGTCAAGATGATCTACTGCAGTTGAATCAGAATGGGGAATAAAGGTGATTGAAGTGACTTTGAACGTGGTATGGTTGTCGGTGCCAGACGGTCTGGTCTGAGTATATCAGAAACTTTTGATCTACTGGGATTTTGACGCACAAACATCTCTAGGGTTTACAGAGAATGGTCAGAAAAAGAGAAAATATCCAGTGAAGGACAGTTTTGTGGGCGCAAATGCCTTGTTGATGCCAGAAGTCAGAGGAGAATGGCCAGACATTTCGAGCTGATAGAAAGGCAATAGTAACTCAAATAATCACTCCTCACAATCGAGGTATGCAGAGGAGCATCTCTGAACACACAACATGTCGAACCTTAAGAAGGAAACCAAAATTCCACAATAGTAGATTGGAAAAATGTTGCCTGGTCTGATGAGTCTCAATTTCTGCTACGACATTCAGATGGTAGGGTCAGAATTTGGCATCAGTAACATGAAAGCATGGATCCATCCTGCCTTGTATGAACAGATCAGGCTAGTGGTGGTGGTGTACTGGTGTGGTGGATATTTTCTTGGTACACTTTGAACTCATTAGTATCAGTTGAGCATCGCGTCAACGCTACAGCCTACCTTAGTATTGTTGCTGACCATGTCCATCCCTATCCCCTTATGAGTACAGTGTACCCATCATCTGATGGCTACTTCCAGCAGGATAACGTGCCATGTTATAAAGTGTGAATCATCACAGACTAGTTTTTTGAACATGACAATGAGTTTACTGTCCTCAAATGGCCTCCACAGTCACCAAATCCTCAATCCAATAGAGCATCTTTTTTAATCCAGTAGAGCACGCCGACAAATCTGCAGCAACGGGATGCTATGATGTCAAAATCGAACAAAATGTCTAAGGAATTTTTCCAGTATCTTGTTGAATCTATGCCTCGAAGTATCAAGGCAGGTCTGACTGCAAAAGGGGGTCCAAACCGGTACTAATAAGGTGTACCTAATAAAGTGGCTGGTGAGTGTAAAATAGTAATAAAATGAATTGTAAAATGGGTGAAGCATACTGCTTTAGACTTAAGATGACAGTTAATTAGTATTTTGTGGCAGCACTGGGATTCTTGTATGATTTTTGATCTAAATATATAAATGGAGCAGGTTAGCACTATAACTGGATGACTTATCACCTGTTTTAGGGCACGTTCTATCTCCACCCCTTGCGCCCATGGAACAGCAGGATTGGCCAGGCAGTCTCCATTGTTCGCTCTACGAGAGATGTCAATTCTCTGTTTGTGCAGGTAACGGAAAGCCTCAGTCATCACCTGAACTGCGTCATACGTCAGTGCTGAAGTGTACTGGATACACAGAGAGAAAGAGAAAGAGAGAGATGGGGTGGCTTATTTTTTTGAGTTGTATTCCTGTAGGTGATATTGCAGTTCTAGATGTAATATGTGATCTAGAATTATTGTGAAAAAATGAATTCTAACATACAATATAATGGATAATAAAAATGAATAGCACGTATACAGAAGCCATATGCTTGTATTTTTTACAAATGTATTCATTGAAGCTAAGGCTGCACGATATTGGAAAAAAAGGATATTGGATATTTTGTTTTTCTGCGATATATAAATACAATTTTACCTCATGGCTTTATTTGCCCTGTTTTACATATTTTAGGGAGTCTAACAGTGTTCAGGTACATACACCAAACAATAAACTGTAAAATAACACTGTATAGTCTTCATCGCATAAATAGTTTAAGACAATTTATTTTTCTTACACCTCCCAAACGTCATAGTTTCTTGTACCCAAATGTTTTAAACTCCAAACTTAATTACATACATACTGTGGTCACAGGCCTTAAAAGCACATACAAATGATAAACTTTTACTCTATTTAGGTTAAACTTTGCAATGACTCCATAAATCACATGTTCTGTGGTTTTTAGTAAGCTATATGCCATTTTAATGTGGCCATGTCATTGGCCCATGATCATTTGCTGCTTTTTATCAAACTATTTCATAACTGTAACAAGTGGCAATTCAATAATATATTTACGTTAAAACAGCTATAATGACATTATCAATATGTGGATTTTCGGAAGCTATAGAAATAAAAAATGTAAAGGAAATATGTTGGGACCATTGCTTCTTTTTTTTTTTTTTATTCCACAAAATGGTCTATAATTCAGACTCAACATTGCACATGCTGTGATGTGACCATTGCAGATGTGAACATTGTAATATCGATGCTAATACAATATATTGTGCAGCCCTAATTGGAGCCGTCTAGTAAGATTAACACCAATTCGATACATTTGAATTTTACTAACATAAATCATATTCTACATTCAAATCAAATTTAGGAAAGAATTTAAAGGGAATTCTCAGTTTTAAATGTCACTTATACAGGACTTATTTGCTAATTTAAAAAATGAAACATTTGATTTCAGTCTGCAGAAATGAAGCACCTGCTTAGTCTTCGAGACAGATGAGACCACATTTAATCTGGAGTAGAAAATAACTAACAAGCTTTTCCTGCAAATGGCCTGAAGTATACGGGCTTTTAAATGAAGAGGTTATACATTCATGTAGCAATTACCTGAACATCTCTTTTAATCATACTTAGGAAAGATGTCTGAAATGGACACACACACACACACAGACAGAGGTCTCACCCGTATCTTGCTGTCTGCTCCAGGATATTCTTTTTCCTCCAGAGCTTCCCAGCGCTGGTCAAATTTGGACACCAGAGGGTCATCAAAATCCACAATCTGAAAGCCTGACACATTCGCTCCACCATACTGGATTTTAGAAAGATCTCCATCCACAAAACCCTAAAAACATGAAATGGCTTTTGTTTTGATTGCTACTATTTTAAAAATGTGATGTTTTTTTTTTTGTTGTTAGTGCTGTATTTGAGTTTACCAGGTTTGCTATGATGTAGTGATATCCCTTCACATGCCTGCCAATAGTAATGACCTGGGAAGAGAATAAAAGATCTCATTTAATCAATGCATTACAAAATAAACACACTAGAAATACTAAAAGCTAATATTTAAAGTTTTTTTTAGTTTTTTTTTGGATTTTGAATAACCTCAGAATACAGTTTTTTCATGCAATCATGAGTCTCACAATTGGGACTTTTCTTCTTGGAATTGTATTTTTATTTCTCATAGTTGCAAATAAACATCCAAAGTAGGGCTTGATGATTTGGGGAAAATATCTGATTGTGAATTATTATTATTATTTTTTTTTTTTATTTTTTTTTTTTTTTAGACAGATATAGCGGTTTCGATTTGACTCCACAATTAATTTTTTTAGTCAAGCTTCAGCTCAACCACAATCCATATATAGCTGCCTGTGGTTTTTTTTTAGGTGCTTGTTGTGGTACAGTAATTCCTCCTGCTGGCAACAATTCTGCGACAGCTCTTACAAGTTACCTGTTTATGTTCGGTGTCTGTGACTTTAAAATTAAAATATTCCCTTATAACCAACATGCTGTTTTTCTTTAATATTAATTTGTATATTAATGATATTGACGCAGCAGACGCCATCATCCCACTCGTCTGCGCTTTCCTGTTTTTTTTATTTATTTATTTTTATTGTGGGCGTTCCATATAGTTCTGTTGCTCAATTCTGATTGGGCAGAACGAAAGTGTGTTTGCTCAGTTGGCTAGTAAGACAGTCACACACAGACGGCAGTCATGCATTTGCGCTGGGTTGGGGAAATTAAATAATATTCTGTATATATATATATTTCATATTGCAGCCTCTTGCGATTAGCTAATTTTAACGTTTCAAATTGCGAATTGTGATTCAGTTTCGATTTACTGCACAGCTCTAAGCCAAAGTCTGAATTTGAGTATTCAGATCTGAGGAAAATTTTTGTCAAACGTGAACAACAAAAGTCACAACTGCAAAATGCAAACTTGGAGTCACATGAAATCTCAATTTTTTTCACATTTTGGACTTTTCATACCTTACAACTGCTGGTGATTTATGTTTTATTTACAAAAGAGATAACCACACTGGCAGTCCAACTGACAGAAATTAAAGCTGTTTGAGAGGTTTGTGTGTTTGTTTAAGATCATTACTATGTATGTGTGCACTGTATGTGTGTGTCTGCTTATAATGCTGTAGTATAGAGTCCAGATCAGCTGTATTGATTGTGGCGGTTGGTTAAACACTTTTGCTGGTCTTAAATACAAATCAATAGCTCTTCCCTGAGGGTTTAGCAAGTGTGAATGAAAAACTCTTCTCATGAGTACTTTTCTGCCTGCTAATGGCTGCTATTTGAATAAACTCATTGATGATTCATAGTTATGGTCCTCTTAAAAAGTTTTACTGCATTAAATTTCTTTTGTAATTATTATGCAGACTTGTGACTTTATACAATCATTTACTTGGGAACTGTTTGAGCTGGAAAATGTATTTATTTATTTCATTATCTGATTACATACTGCAAATAAAAATATGTATTTATAATAATTTTCATCAGTTTATTATAATTAAAAACAACAATTTTCTAATATAATCTAGATGTTTTTTTTTTTAATAATTTATTTCTTTTATAGCAAAGCTGAATTTTCAGCATTAGTACTTGATCCCTCTGAAATCCCCAAATCATTTGGAAATCTGTGGCTCAAAAAACTTTTATTATAATAATACTTGTGCTCACTAAAAGTATTTTGGGAACCAGCCCACATGAAATACTTATTTTATTTTAAGCAGACATCGTTTGTACATATGCCTTTGGTGTCACTTGATCAATTACAGCATTGGCTCCAAGAACTTTTATTTATATGCATGAAACGTCTCTTCTGATAAGATTTAAATATTGTACTGTATACTAAATATATGTTGCAAAAACAGCACACATAATGCCTGAAATACTTAAAACATTCAAATGCATTTTAGATTATAAAGACTTGTAATCTAATTGTTTATATCATTAATGTTTGCATATGTGTTGATGTCTATACCTGTTCCATGATGTCTTTAACTTTGTCCTGCTCACAATCTAGAATGACCCTCCGCTCCTTCTTGTTTTCCAGGTCTTGAAAGAGTGAGCGATATGCTTCATCCTTTCTCTCATCCTTCATGTTGCCCACGTTGATGGCGGTCACCTGCCATTTCTTCTCTGCTGCTGTGTCCAGCACAACTTGGAGTGTGGTAAGTCCTGTTTATAAAGAAGAGGAACAAATTAGGCTATACATGGATTTTCTCTATAGATGTTTTTCTAAAAAAAAGTGTGTGTGTATGTACACACACACACACACACACACACACACACACACACACACACACACACACACAAATATATATATATATATATATATATATACACACATACACACACACACACACACACACACACACACACACACACACACACACACACACACACACGCACTTCCTTTGGAGAAATACTGCATATTTGCTTTATCTTATGTGAAATTTAATCAGTTTAAGAAATATAAATAATATATAACCCTTATGTACTGTTGGGGTTGTTTTCATCCACTCTGGGGTGATTTTGAGTCTTAATTTGGTCACATCGTTTTTGTGTTTCAACTAGGAACAATAAAAACTCAACAATACACTCTGGCCTTGTTATTGTTTAGTCTGTACTTCTCAAGATCAAAAGGCAGGCTGTGCATAAATACATAGACTTTGTTTTTGTTTACTCCATGTAGTTCTGAGAGCTGAGATGCATGTTTTGATTTTCTCAGATACATCAAGTTAAGTGCACAAAGGTCACTCTCACACTCACACACATCCACACAAATTGCAAATTTGACCTTTTTCCAACAGGCAAAACCACCAACAATTACAAATGCATGAATATATAGTTTTAATGGTTATGCAATCAAAACATGTGGTTACAGTGCTTAGCATAATTGAGTACACCCCATTGAATCATTGAATATAGGCAATGTATTTTGGCGCATTTGAACAAAACAGAATTATTAAATGGATACATTTATTAAAATATTTTTTGTCACATAAAAGCTTTAGAAATAGAAATATTATAAATTTAAATTCAAGCAAAATAGTAAAATCTCTTAAATTTTGCTCTTTTAAAACGTTGTATTATTTGTATTAATATTTTTTTCTAACCTATAAATTTAGGTGTACTGATTTTAGACCATTATCATAAGTTATTTTGGTAGATTAGTTTCAGATTTGGCTTCAGTACTTAATAATCTAATGTTTTTGCACAAATATAATAATGTAAACTTCCTTTAGAAAACATTAATTTAAATGAAAGATTTGTGAGGGGTGTACTCATGAATGCTGAGCACTGTATAATGGAAGTCAATGTGTCTAAAACAGCCATCAACAGCAAATTAGGGGGACATTTTTTAAATGTTATACGGCACAAAAACTAACAATGCATCAAAGGCAATGATGTTACTAATATTTCACATGTCCAACACTGTGATAAAAAGTTTTAAAAAATCCAGTCCACAATTACTTTTTATATTGAAATTTTGTGTGTTTAAATCAGTTACATTATTAGTGAGCTTGGCAATTAAAGAGTTTTTAAAAAAAAAAAAAAGATTTAGTAGTTTTGATCAGGACAGAGGTTAATTAACAGATATAAAAAAAATTTATCTGATGCATTTTTACAGCAGTTTAATTTAGTAGATGTTTTTATCCCGAACATAACAAAAAGGTAGAAAATTTGAACAGTGCACAAGGGATAATTTAATTTTGTATGTGTTTATTTTTCCATTTCTTTCTACACTCAACACTGCTCAAACCATAAAATGTTTTTTTTATATTTTCTTTTAAGATATAATGGGTTTGTCTATGCATATGTAAGGACTGCAATCTTACAAAGCTCCAACAGTCTCCTATATTCTGCTGCTTACAAAAAACATCTATCACCATTTGAAACATTAGCACGATGCTGTCCAAAAAAACAAAAACACTATGTGACATTATAATAATGTAGTGGAGATGCTTTGTGTTTTGAGAATTTCAAAAAATAAAAACATCCCACTGTAAAGGCTTTTCTTTGATACAAACTTTGATCCAATTAATCTCCTTCTTCTTCTTCCTTGTCACAATCTGGCTCGTTATTTGATGACGTTAAAACCAGTGGCATTATTTACTTCATATTATTTAACTTGTGTTTGCTCTTGCTTTTTTATTAATTTGACATGTTAAGCCCTACCAGCAAGTTTTGGCTTTTAGACACACAGATTGAGGTTGTCTGACCAATCACAACACAGTGTGTGGGTCAGTTAACCAATCAGAGCACTGCGGCAACAATGTACAATGTGAAAAAAATAAATATTTTTTTTAAACATTAAGACATTTCAACCAATTCTAATACAAAAACAAACCAAATAATTTCATTTAAAATAGAATCTTATGGCTTGTTTTACAATTACTCCATGACGGACTTGATACAGATAAGGTTTTTCCATCCATCACATGAGAGGAAAACAATTAAGAATTCTTTTCAATAATAATTTATAAGAAAAATTTATAAACTCAGATTGTCATTGAGAGTGAAGGTTTGTGTGTTAGATATGCATTTTGATTGTAGTGTTTGATTGAAAAAATGAATCATCATGGGTAAAAATTGAAGGGAGTACAAGGCACAGTAGGCTCCCCTATTTAACCTTAGCTTAATGTGCAGCTCAGAGACACGAGGATCAAGACTTACAGCTATTCTTGGAGATAAGTGATTAAAAACTCGTTAGAGAGGCACATTAGCTCTAACAAATGAGATGATGGGATTGAAATGCATTGTTACTTCAGCCCACTCCAAAATCACTTCTGAATCTCGAAAATCCTGATGCGGGTCACTTAAAGACTAAGGAGCAAATGAGATGATGGCACTTCAGTTCATTATTGTTCCAGCACACTCTAAAAATCACTTCTGAATCTAGGAATGCCTGAAAGATGGATACCGAAGATTTCTATTTGAATTTGGCCATTTAAATAGAAGCATACTAGCAAATATAAGCAAATACATACAACTTCTGACTCAGAAATAAGTGTGAATTTAGTTTTACAGGTCATACGTGGTATTTTCCTTTAACATTATATACAGCGAGGAAAATAAGTATTGAACATGTCATGTTTTTTTCCTGGGAATAATATTTCAAAAGGAGCTGTTAACATGGAACTGAACAAGATTTTGGTAAAAACTCAAACAATACAAACGTAAAACAAAACAAAAAAATCTGAAAATATAGTTATGTGTAAAAACAACGAAGTGACACAAGGGGAAAGTATTGAACTATTAAAACGTATTTAATACTTTATGTAGAAGGCTTTTTTGGTGATGGCAGCTTAAAGACGACTCTCAAATGGAGAATGAAGTCACATGCATTGCTCAGATATGATTTTTTTTGTTCACAGACTTCAACAAATATGAGCTTTATTTTGTATTTTCAATTGGATTCAGGTCAGGTGATTGGCTGGGCCATTCTACAGCTTGATTTTCTTTTTCTGAAACCATTTGAGAGTTTACAAATGCAAATTAACTTTATGCACAAAACTGGATTATCGCATAAAACATTTGTGAATAATGCAGCGTTTTTATCCAACGAGTCAAAGCGAACAAAATCATCACCTCCTGATTATCTGACGCCAAATATCAACAGTAAAAATGGAATTTCCCACGGTAGGAGAAGCTGCGTCTTTTCTTTATTAAATAAATGATTTGCACCTATGAAGACACTACAACACAATGAATGCGTGGTGGCGTTTGAATGCATGAGACGTGGAGCACAGAAGCTCTTGACAGTTCTGGAGGTCATTAATAATATTATAACACTAATACTGAAACGGTTAAGGCGTTTTAGAATGACCTAGAAAAACCATTTCAGATGTTAAACAGTGTGCTCAGCCTGCTGGTTTGTTCATTCACACACATTTTTATGATCACATGTTTATTGTATAACAAAATCACGTGACTTTTTTTTTTAATGCACATACTGGAATTTGTTCAGTAAAAGTGTTTCCATTGCAGTTTATGCGCATCTTTTCTTATCGGGTAAAACTCCCACTCAGTTATGCGCATACGTTTTTGATGCGCATTTTCTAAATTTATGCGCATCTTGACGTTACCATCAACCGTTTTTGTATGCGCATATCCAAAATGACCATAAAAATAGGTGGATGGAAACGCAGCTATTGTTTTGCTGAAACATCCACTCTTGTTTCATCTTCATCATCCTGATAATGTAGATGTTGGACTGAAGCAGTGGGTATTGATTTACAATGAGGAAGGGCAGAGGGTTGCTGAATAACTACTGAAGAATTTTAGCTGCTGCTGGGCTTTCACTGCCTATCTACACCTCGCTTTCTTCATGTGTTCAATACTTTCTCCCCGAGTCATTTCATTTTACTAAACATAACTTGATTTGTACACTAATCAGATTTGTTTTCTTTGCATATATGGATTTCTTTGGTTGCTATAAACATCCGAAGAAAATTTCAAGTCAACAGCACCTTTAGAATTATTTGCTTTCTGTTTTCCTATTCATTATTGTGTGGTGACTATTCAAATTAACAATTTAATGTATAGCCATTTTATATTTTGTTTAGTAAAGGGTTTTATTAATAAATATCAAGTCAAGTCCAAATCAAGTTGAGCTTTATTGTCATTCCGCTACACATCTGGATATATAATTATACTTAAATGTCATGTCTTGCTGGGCCACTGTTCCATATAAGCTTCTACATTAACATATTAAGATCGAAAGTGGAGTGTTTTCCTGTGTTGTGTGTGTAAATTTGGTTTACTGTAGTATTGTATTTTTATTTCTGTTATTTTCTTTGTTCGGTGTATATAGTTTTTTTGTGGGTGTTTCGGTAGAGCATACTTTTTGTTTATTATTTCTTGTTGGTCCTCTCCAAGGTACACGCTTCATGTTTTGCGTGTTTAAAAAAAAAAGAAAGCAACAAAAAAAGACGAATAAATGGACCCGACTCTAAGGGTTCTTAAAAGGTATTTCATTTGTCGAGTGTTTTATTTATGTTACTTCCTTGACCGTTGACCAGGCTTGTAACAGTATTTACTTGTATTAATTTACATAGTGCTCCTAATCCTGTAACTTAAACTTGAGCGAAACTTATCTGTTCAAGTAACAAGTGAAGTCAATTTCTGTTTTGTTGAATATCTTATTTGTTTCTCAGTATGAGGTCGCCCCC